CTAGCTTTTTCTTCTTTTCTGACTGTTTTATTAATATGTCAGTAAACGCTAACCACTTGCTGTTTATCCATGAGAATTGTCAACAAAACTAATATCTGTGTGATCGGCATAGTGGATTTTGATAGGCGTTTAATGAAGTCAAAAGAAAAACCATTCGTAACGAATAATATTACGTACATAGCGGTAAGATCTGTAGATCTACAAACGGTTTTCACACACAAACTCATTCAGACACAGGAAACGTACTGCTAAGAACCTACTGCGTAACATAACAAAGAATTCGTCTTTTTAATTTCTAAGGAATATCCCCCAATACAATTTAAACTCTAGTTTAATATTGATAGCTATTAGTTTGATCTTACAGCTGTTGCACGAGAAATATAGATGAACGGCTAGTTTTACTTTTGATGATTAGTAGGATTATAAATATTGCAAAGGCTCTTTTCTTTATATTTCGGTTTTTATGGGAAAGCCGGCCATTTAATATTTTCTATATTCATTGCACATCACTTGGGCTGCGATCAAAAATATTAAATACAGTATACAGAACGATCTCCTCATTGAAAATCTCAAACCATATAAAGTAAATGAATTTAGTGAGGAATTAGCCAGTATAATATTGTTATGTTAAGGATGTCTAGATTCTCTTGCAACCTGAGACGACTCAACATGGAACAGTCTGCTTGCAAGGCAAAACTTTTTCTCTACTTCTTGGGATGCATGCTATGTCATAGCTGCCATTTTGGTGGATGATAACAAAGATTCTAATTACGATGATAATGATTTATGCTTTATGATTATTTCTATATAGCGCCCTTTCTAAACTTATATTTAAAGGGGCTTACAATAATGAGAGGTGGTTAGTAAAGAGGTGTTGACACAGAGGGTGGTCAGTATACAATCATGAGGGATGGTTAGTATGAGGTGTAGACACTGAGGGTGGTCAGTATACAATCATGAGGGAGGGTTAGTATGAAGTGTAGACAATGAGGGKGGTCAGTATACAATCATGAGGGAGGGTTAGTATGAGGTGTAGACACTGAGGGTGGTCACTACCAGGGATTCTTTACGTCCCCAGTGGTTCTTTTACGTTCCTCTATAGTTAGCTCCTCTTGTTAGATCAACCAACATTGTGGCTGTTTCATCGTTATTTATATCTCAAGGGATTTTGAGTCATGTGGTTGCACTCCAAAAAATAAAAAATAAATGAAAACATTCTTGATTCATTCGTACGTATCGCTATACTAACTTCTACACCCATTGCAGTTTCGTGAACTCAATTCTCCTACCTTCCCAATCAAGTTGTAATTGTAAAAATTGTACCTCGGAGTGAAAAAAATATCTGATGAAATTATTAAACATTTTGAGCTGCTTCTTTTCTGAAAATCTTGACAGCACATACATGGTACTATGTCGTAATGATATATGTCTGTCTGCCCATGCATTGTTTCGTGCAAATACCCACGGCCCCGCTGTAAGACCATAGCAAAGTAAAATACTAATGCGGCTACTCTGCAGCTGGCATACCAAATTTCGATAAATATTCAGTTGTATTATTTGGTAATTTAATTTAAGTAAAACGACAAATAAAAAAGCATTTAAAAAACAGCACTGGAATGAATAAAGAGTAGCTTAAATTTTTTTAGGGAAGACTACATTTTTTTGTTTGTTTTGCTATGAAAAATGATGCATGGTGACAACAATGATCGGATGGTGAACGGTAGTTATCATAGTGCGTGTGGTGGTGGTGCCGGTAAACAATAGCTATCAATCAAGTTATCTGTTACCAATCCATCATTATACTTCGTAAACGACAGTTTTGTTTCATTCTGAAACAAAATCTTTAGAAATTTATGTTTAGAACGATCAGAAATAAAGAAGCGAGCAAATGAGCGAACCTTTGCCATCAAGCATCCGTGTAGACAAAATTAAATCACTTCACACGTGTTCTTCCCCAAAAATACTGAAGAGTAATTTGTTGACTTACAACTTATAATGACTCATTTGTTTTCTGTGCTGACAATACACAAAACAAACTGGTAGTTTTGTGAAGCCGGTCGCACTCCAAGTAAACCCTAATATTTTCTATTTTTTCAATGCTTATTTTATGGAATGACGTTTGAAGACACCTGTCAAAACTCATTGCTTGAATTTTCTTCTTCTCGTAGGTCATGTATTTTTTCTATAGGGGAATCCATGATCTTTACTAAACAGAATTCGATCGAAATATTGCGACATACCATTGGCGGCAAATTGCAGTCCAATTTGTAATGGTAGCGAACAGAACTGTCAGTCGTCATGCAAAAGATAAAAATCTTTATTGTTCGATCTATAAAATAAGCTAATGAACGTTGATAACAGTGTAGTACCATTGGTACTCATGGATGATAAGAGTGCTTTTAGCATCATGTCCCATCAACCAACGTACTCAATCCAGTAAAGTGGTCGATTATGGTCGATTATGCTCACACGACAGGGGCTCAAAATTTTGGATTTCTACGATAACACACGAAATAACCCACACTTCATCCAAAAGAGCTAAAAAGAAACATTCAAAGATTTTTCGAGGATTTTATGTCCTATCGTGCCACTGAAACCAAGGCTAAAAAAACGCATTCCGTTGGAATTCAACATTGAATTAGCCATCGAAAGCACTCACTCCAAGCTTGAGGCGAAGCTACTCAAAATGACAACCATTGAATCATTTGCGACCATGCAAAACCCTCATAGCAAAAAGTCTCTTGAGAGTCAATAAATCTTCGACTCTTAGCTCAAAGCACCAATTGACAGAATTTTGTTTTAGTTTTGTCTCCGCAAGGCCGCCATCTTGAAAGAATGACGTCATCGGTAAATGCCCCGTCATTCTGAAGATGGCGCCTTTAATTTTATCTTTTTAAGTTTGTTTCCGGTAAATGATGGAATCAATAATTAGTTCGCTCTCGTAAACGTTTTCTACAATAGCTTAAAAAACCACTTTTTATTACTCGGCCTCTTGGATAACTGGAATTTAAATTTTGTAAATAAAATTTAAGCGAAATTAAACTCTAGCTAAGTAATACTAAGCTGTTAAGTGACGAGGGGAAGTTGCTGTATGTATATATCTCATTTGTCAATCACGTGACCACGTTTGAATCAGACGCCCAATTTAATGGATTTCAGTGGACCTTAAAGGCAACAGTCCCTTTCACGGGTCCCTGCGCATTTCAATAGGTAGTCGTACCTTGCATCGAAGCGAGATGAACGGAGTTCGATGCAAAAGGCGCCACGGCTAACTTTCAAGATGGCGCCGGGAACTAAGAAGAGGACGATTCCTGAACTGGACCTTAATTTAGTACGAATTGTATACAGCAGAAGGTCTCACAGAACTATCTATGAAAAGTTACTAAAAGAGGCACTAAATTAAACAGACTGACTGATGTCTTGCCTACCTTCTGGATTGTTATTGGTAGCCATGATCAAGGGGATCGTGAGACAGAGAGAAATAACTATCACAGCAATCTTCATTTTGTAAAAACTTGGGCGTCGGGTGTTTGGGTGCGTTTGGTAGGCACTAGCAGCAGAACCCGCGATAACGACGGAATCCCTTTTATGTGATCCGGGAAGAGTTGAATATTGAGCATGTCAATGAGGCATGGTTTTTATTTTCGAATGTATTCAAGATTTTTTGCGGAATTGCTCGTAAGGATGATAAAAATAAATGAATAAATAAATAAATGCAAGAATGAATTGATGAATGAATGCATGGATGGACGGCTGCATAAATTAGTGAATGAATACAATTAATTAATGCATAAACAAATGGATGAATGGATGCATGAAGGAATGGATGGATGAACAGACGGAGGGAGGGACGCTTGTATATCAAAGGGAGTATAATTAAGAGAATAATTACATCAATAACTAATGCATGAACAAATAAATGAATGGATGCATGAATGGATGGATGGATAGATGTACGGCTGCATGAACAAATAAATGAATGGATGGATAAATGCATGGAGGGAGGGAGGGAAAGAGGAAGGGACG